ACTAAGGAAACAGAGATATAGCTACTTGTCTGCTTCTCTAAGGCAGATATGCATATGAAGGATGGTGCTCTCTTGGTATATCGCATTGTAACACATATGAGACGCCGTTAGTTTTTTAAAGGTCATAGTCTGCTATGTAATTTAGAATGTTTTGTGTTTCTCTTTCAAAACTTATATTAGTATATGTTTAGAGATAATTACGCTACTTTCCAACATCTGTCCTTGTTGTGTTGTAATAAGAGTCACCTGTTGCTTTTACAGGTCTGAAGCAAATGATGTTGCCTTTCGCATGGCCAGAGATTATACGGGTGGCACTGAAGTCATTGTTCTTGAACAGTACGTTAAGCAGCAGCGATGTTTATAATGTTTATTGAAGTCAAATTTTTTAGTGCATATCATGGGAATCTGTCGTCATTGATTGACATAAGTCCCCTCAAATTCAATGGTAAAGGTGGGAAGGGCGCTCCGGAGCATGTTCACGTGGTATTAAACAATGAATTTTATTAACCCTGTTTTTACCTCATCAAGGCACCGATACCAGACGCCTATCGTGGGAAGATTCGTTTGACCACTGAGAAACTGCACGATCCTGCATCTCTGGAAGATATAGGGGTGTCATATGCTCTTGAGGTGAAAGCTATTTGCGACAAGATAAAGAATGATGGAAAGAAGCTATGCGCCTTTTACATGGAGTCGTTGATTAGCTGTGGCGGTCAGGTTATTCCCCCGTCATCGTACCTTTACAACGTTTTGAAGTATGTCTTTATTTATATTTTACAAAGTATGTATTAATGTAAATAAACGAGCTAATAATTGCTTCTATTTTACGGAACCTTAAAAATCAGTTTAATTTACCCAACGCAAAAGATTAACTCTGTCTTATCATACACTGCTACCGACGTTTCAGTGGGAATTTCTATTTCTTACGAGCCATCTGGAAGCTGGGGCTTCATTGATGATCTTTCGTTTGCGAACTTGTAGTTGTCAGCAGCAGCTGGTTTACGTAGAGC